TTTACACAGCATATATGTTGTTTGTACATAGTTGTTTGCATGTTTTCTCCTCCATTTAAATGTATTTCCTTAAGAGTAGGGGGCTTGTTTTTTTGCCTCCCTTTGTGTCCCCAGGGGCTTAGCACACAGTGCCTAGTGCATAATAACCCCTTGATAAATGCTTGTTGATTGACTTCAGTCAGTCATCTTACAGATGACGAAACTGAGGCAGAAAGAGATTAAGTGGTTTTTTCCCCTTGGTCACATAGCTCCTAAATTCTGAAGTGGGTTTCAGAACTCAGCTTCCCTAATGCCAAGCATAGCACTCTATCCACTATGCCATACTACCTAAAGAGTGCCACATGGAGAGCCAGAGAACCTGGGTTCAAGTCCTGGGCTCTGCCACTTACTACCTGTGTGACTTTGGGTCGTTCTTTTCAGTTCTCTAAACTTCAGTTTCTTTAGCTAACCAAGAAGTAAGTTTGGATAGACGGACTTTGAGGTTCCTTCCAGCTCGAGATTTATGGTTCTGTGAAGTCACTTAGACTCTCTAGGCCTCAGTTTCCTCATCTGTAAAATGAAGGGATCGGACCCAATGGCCTCTTAGGTCCCTTCCAGTTCTAGGTGATCCTGTGACCTCTCCTATTCCCTTGGAGAAAGAGGACCCATTCCGAGGACCTACTATCAGAAGGTGTCTTTTAGACCTGCCCTGGCCTGGAGATTCTGGGAACCAAGGCCTTCCCAAGCCATCTTGCCCATTGCTGCTAGTGGCACCCTTATTTTCCCAGTCACTCAAGTTGAAAGTCTGGGAGTCTTCTTTGGTCCTCCCTTCTCCTTCACTGAACACATTCAATCTGTTACCAGCTCCTGTCAGGCTTTCTTTGCAATATCTCTGAGTTTTATCCATTCCTATGCATCCTGGTCCTTTTCACTCAAAATCAGGATTACAATATTAGCTACCATCTGATAACTGGCTTTTGGAGAAACTCTCCATGCCTTCCTCCTCCCCCCAGCCTGACCAAACCCTACTGATCCTTCAGAACACATTAAGATACCACTTCTGCTAGGAGTGGACTTTAGCCTAGAAGCAATTTATTTGGGGCAGCAGAAAGATAAGACCATCCCTCTGCCTGGGCAGACAAGAGTCTTCTTTTTAATTTATTTATTTTGATTTATCAACAATCACTTCCATAAGCTTTTGAGTTTTAAAT